TATGCATCGTTGGAATTTTATAGATACCTCTCAAAAAATCGCTTTGTGGTGTTTTTAGCCAATTCTTAATTGACACCAATCATTTTTTCAAACATTTTACCCGTTGAACCAAAAAATTGACTGTCCTATCCCTTTTCCCCTGCAGTCACGATGGTTAAATATTCCTTTGTTACCGTTAAAGCACGTTCGCGCTTAAAAAAAAAACACTCGCTGTCTCTAGCCCCTCCTTTCGCTGTTTTTTCAAATTCATTTTATATGCATCTGCCTACTAACTTTTTTACTTCGAGATGCCCAATAAATTCATACCTCTTCTCCCAAATGGATCCATAAACCATATTTCTTCGATCTCTTTAGAAGTTTTATTTCCCATGGTAGAAAAATAAAAATCCCCCCTTTAGTAATAATTCCCAGAATTATTCTTCTAGGAGCTATTATTTTAGTGCGTCTCTTGAGCCAATGTATGATCTGCTTTTGTAATTAACCATTTAAAATTATTTAACCCCTAACCCAGAGCTTTTATTTAAAACTCCGGTTTCATGAAAAGAGTTAGATAACCATTTTTTCTCACGCAACTTATTTTTTTGCTCCTTCCTTGAAATAATTATCACGTCTCCCGATGGATTAAGTCTCACACATATACGACCTTATACAATCATTTGCTAAACTTATTTGCAAAGTTCTAGCAAATCCCCAGTCGTATACGCTACTCCCGACACATCCATCGCACACGATGATAATTATCTCCCTGTTTATACTGTTACACTGCAATTCGTACAATGACAATATTAACTAGTTTACATTTGTGATTGCAATTCACTCCATGTCATTTCGGACTAGTTTATTTTTGTAATAGCTATTTACTTAGGGTCATTTTCAGACCCTCCCCAGTCGTAATAATTATTACCTTCTTTGAGATTTTGGTAACTATTGTCTGCCCTCTACAAGAATTCCTATTCTTATACAAGTTCAAATCATTTCACCAAAATCCTTGAATAAAAACTACTGACCTTTTCCTTGCAGTTTGGATTTAAATGCTTTTTCAAACTCGTTAACGTCTTTATCGTTCATAAGAGTAATCACCGGCCTGTTTATAACCTTAACGTCGAAGGCCAGGACTCTCTCACGGATGCTATCACCCGCCCGTGCACGGGTTTCGGTGTCCTTAGAACGATAAAGATGTATTAAGCTCCGCTCAGAAGGACCAATCTGTCATGTGAATTTCTATCTCTAATTCAACCTAAGCTTGAATCATTACCAGAGGTTGTAAGGCTCTGGTTTTAATCATCAATGATTCAAGGTCCATAACCACGAAGAAGGATTTTTTGTATGTTTATTCATGGAGAGCTCTGGCGCCAAAGACACAAACATACGATTTTATACCTCCTGGACTTGACTCCTCCCACCTTTAGGTGACTTTTCTAAACAGTTTCCGCCTTCCCCCTTGAATGTTTAGTACCGCCCCCTCTGTTAGTGGGTTGACACTACATGATAATTCTAACATTTATACTGTATTTGGGGTGAAATCCTTTAGTTATTATTCTTAAAATCCAAATTAATCTAACACCACTCTACCATAAAGGCCTGATTGGTCGAGTGCTGCAGAGATTGTTGTCTTTCTGGAAGGTTCTCCCATCTTCACTGAGGAACTCTGGAGCTCTGTCAGCGTGACCATCGAGTTCTTGGTCACCTCCCTGATCAAGGCCCTTCTCCTCCGATTGCTCAGTTTGCCCGGGCGGCCAGCTCTAAGAAGAGTCTTGGTGGTTCCAAACTTCTTCTATTTAAGAATGATGGAGGCCACTGTGTTCTTGGGGACCTTCAATGCTGCAGGCATTTTTTGGTACCCTTTCCCAGATCTGTGCCTCGACACAATCCTGTCTCGGAGCTCTACAGACAATTCCTTCGATCTCATGGCTTGGTTTTTGCACCTGATCTCAATTTCAAGTCTCATAGCAAAGGGTCTGAGTACTTACGTATTTCTGTTTTTTATTTGTAATACATTTGCAAAGATAAAAAAAATAAACTGTTTTTAGTTTTTTTTTAATGGTAATAAGGCAAAACAAAATGTGTAAAAAGTCGATGGGTCTGAATACTTTCTGAATGCACTGTGTGTGTGTATATATATATATATATATATATATATATATATATATATATATAGACGCCGGACTCCGACATTGCTCGTCCAAACATTTCTATATTTCTTAATTCCATTATTTTACTTTAGAATGTGTGTATTGTTAGATACTACTGCACTGTTGGAGCTAGGAACACAAGCATTTCGCTACACCCGCAATAACTTCTGCTAAAAATGTGTATGTGACCAATACAATTTGATTTGATTTACAGTTACCCATAGCTGACTATCTAGTTTTATAGTTTGGTCATTTATTCCAATACCTTTCAGAATTCCCCAAAATGTGTTTATGAAGCTAGCTAGCTATGTTTTATAGGTTCCTCACTGCAAGTCTGAGCCACCTTGAGAGTCATATTCCCATTTACTAAAATCATTGTAATCTACTGTATATATATTTTTTTGAAAGCTAGCGTCTAAACATTTTCACATACTGAAAAATGCAGCTTGTTGATTAAATTTGACACTTTGCTGCCACCGGAGTTTGACACGTGACTAGTTTGCATTGAATTGTGGGTCATATCAACCCCGCAAGTGATCAAAGTTGTTCACTTGCACCCTCGAGCTAAAAAGAGGGCAGAGGGGGCATCTTTTGTGAATTGGACCGCCACTTCAGATGGCAATCAAACTGCATCCAGTTTCGACTGGGATTCCCAGAGGGAAAGTGGCTAGTGCAGGGCTGAGGGGGTAAAAATAACACGACTGGACTGCAGCCATCAACTCGGGAGTATTGAGCATAAAATAAATAAATAATGTAAGTAGTCAACTGGGTGGGACTTCCAATGGGTTAAGGAAGGATCACATGATTCCATCCAGATCACCAGGAGGGATCAGCCAATGAGTTATACTCGTGACGGGAGCAAACATTCAATAAGTGCAGGTGCTAGTTAATCGGCAACCTTGGCTTTATACCTGTTCAAACAACACAGTTGTTTGCCAACAAATAGTAGTAGTAGAAGAAAATGGACTACATCAAAATGGAGAAGGCCTCAATGGCGCTGGGTTGTCACTAGTTACCACAGCCACAAAGTCAAGATTGTCTATATCGTAAGAATTCATGAAAACAAAAATGAGCTTTTTGGTGTTAATAGCGAAGGTGCATAAAGATGGCGGTCCCCATGTACTTACCACAAATGTCTTATTTGCTAAGTTCGCCGTAGTGTACAGTGCTCTCCATTACTCTTTTTTTATTATTATTATTTTATTTTTTGAATCGGCATTAGCACAGCATACGATCCCAATTCTAGCTCCCAAGACGGCGGCAATTTGAAAAACTTGTGTTCATTTATAGGCACATTGCATCATGTTGCGCACCATAGTTTAAAAACTCTGTGCACAGTGCTCAAATGATGACCTCATATCCGAATCCCTCCATATTTTTGCACCTTCACCAGTTAAGGTTAGGCATGTAGTTAGCAGTGTGGTTAAGGTTAGGTTTCAAATCTGATTTTAAGAAGATAAATTGCAGAAATAGGCGGGATTTTATGCCATAATTATGACTTGGTGGTAACTAGTGATGACCATGGATCTGCCTGCTCTCACAGGCGTCATAAAAAGAACAGATGCAATGATGCGATGTCTATCTAAGTCTATGGCCGCAACAGCGATATGCTCACTCCTCATGTCCGTCAGATGCTTCAAACTCTTTGCGTTCCGGCGGAAGTCATTCATTGTCAACGGAGCAGTCAGCAACGCTACGTTGGGGATGCCGCACTAGGCTGGCAGTGCGTTCTGTGGGATGCCGCACATGCGTTGCTTTACCTAGTTGAAAAGCGAAGCACATGTGCGTCAATAATGATAATCTGGCCTAGACATATAAAAATAAAAAAACACGCATATGCGTCTGATGGACATTGGGTGCATTTCTTACCGCACTCCGGCGGCAGAAGTATGGGTAGGTGTACTTGTTCTGAAATCCGGGATGTCCCGGAGCTAATTGTTTTTATAGTTAAATCAATTAGTTTTATATACATTAGATGACTGACAGGGGCCGCTGTTTTGAAGGCACCATTTTAACAAAATATTTCGGAAGCTATAGTAATGCATTTATTAACGTCTACATTTGTTTTCTCCATGTTTATTCTATTACAGACATATTAATGCATACTTCTAAATTATATTATGTGAGCTAAACATAAAATAAACATTTTCCTTTAAGTATAATTTGTAGAAAGTACTAATGTTGCTACAAAAAATATATATACTTAAATACATGTAATGTGTTCCTTGAAACCATTTAATTTAAATAGTGTATAACGCCATTCATTCCTATGGAGGGACTGCGCCTTCTGGGGAGTTCCAATATGGCCGACCGGTGGCTTCAAAGCCTCTCATTGGCCAATACATAGCGTCAGTCATCCAGTGTTTATATACATCAATGGTTATAATCCTGAACCTAGAGCAAACTAGGAGGCGGTGATGTTATCTTGCTTGAAGAAAGTTAAATTACAAAAATGCAATAATGAATGCATGTTTATTAACAATCTTTTAGAATTAAGTTCTATTTCAAACAAATCTTAAACAAATTAAAAAGATAGGAAAACCTAATGGTTTTCATTCAAAGCATAGGACAAAACTATTCAAGTTACAGAAAGTAGATCTGAGCTACTATACCACAATACATGTAGGCAGGTGCTGTATATTTGTTCATATAAACCAATACGGATTAACGTAATCTGCTTTCCCGTGTATTGTTCTAGGATGAGTTTCACAAAGAGCCTCTCGTGGAGTAGGTAAACCTGTGCCTTTCTTCTGAGCGTAATATAAAGACATATCCAGATTCTCCACCCTCCTTCAGAAGTGTACACGCCCCGTTAAATTGGACCTAAAGACCGTCATCTTGTCAACTTCCTCCAGAGACGGACATCTTTTAGCTGGACGCTGTGTCTCTTCCTGAAAGTTCCTGTGAGACAACACCAAATTATGCAGCTCAGTAATCATGTAATGTACACAGCAAACAACGGCACAGAAATGGTGGTTGAATAATGTAAAGAATACAGTGGGTTGCGAAAGTATTCACCCCCTTTTTGGCATGCAAGTCTCTTGGGGTACGTCTCTATAAGCTTGGCACATCTAGCCACTGGGATTTTTGCCCATTCTTCAAGGCAAAACTGCTCCAGCTCCTTCAAGTTGGATGGGTTCTGCTGGTGTACAGCAATCTTTAAGTCATACCACAGATTCTCAATTGGATTGAGGTCTGGGCTTTGACTAGGCCATTCCAAGACATTTAAATGTTTCCCCTTAAACCACTAGAGTGTTGCTTTAGCAGTATGCTTAGTGTCATTGTCCTGCTGGAAGGCGAACCTCCGTCCCAGTCTCAATTCTATGGAAGACTGAAACAGGTTTCCCTCTAGAATTGCCCTGTATTTAGCGCCATCCATCATTCCTTCAATTCTGACCAGTTTCCCAGTCCCTGCCGATGAAAAACATCCCCACAGCATGATGCTGCCACCACCATGCTTCACTGTGGGGATGGTGTTCTCGGGGTGATGAGAGGTGTTGGGTTTGCGCCAGACATAGCGTTTTCCTAGATGGCCAAAAAGCTCAATTTTAGTCTCATCTGATCAGAGTACCTTCTTCCATATGTTTGGGGAGTCTCCCACATGCCTTTTGGCGAACACCAAATGTGTTTGCTAATTTTTTTCTTTAAGCAATGGCTTTTTTCTGGCCACTCATCCGTAAAGCCCAGCTCTGTGGAGTGTACGGCTTAAAGTGGTCCTATGGACAGATACTCCAATCTCCGCTGTGGAGCTTTGCAGCTCCTTTAGGGTTATCTTTGGTATATTTATTGCCTCTCTGATGAATGCCCTCCTCGCCTGGTCCGTGAGTTTTGGTGGCGGCCCTCTCTTGGCAGGTTTATTGTGGTGCCATAATCTTTCCATCCGTGGAATGTTCAAAGTCTCTGATGTTTTTTTTTATAACCCAACCCTGATCTGTACTTCTACACAACTTTGTCCCTGACCTGTTAGGAGAGCTCCTTGGTCTTCATGGTGCCGCTTGCTTGGTGGTGCCCCTTGCTTAGTGGTGTTGCAGACTCTGGGGCCTTTCAGAACAGGTGTATATATACTGAGATCATGTGACACTTAAAGTCCACCTGTGTGCAATCTAACTAATTATGTGACTTCTGAAGGTAATTGGTTGCACCAGATCTTATTTAGGGTCTTCATAGCAAAAGGGGTGAATACATATGCACGCACCACTTTTCCGTTATTTATTGTTTAGAATTGTTTTTAAACAAGTAATTTTTTTCATTTAACTTCACCAATTTGGACTATTTTGTGTAAGTCCATTACATGAAATCCAAATAAAATGCCATTTAAATTACAGGTTGTAATGCAACAAAATAGGAAAAACGCCAAGGGGGATGAATACTTTTGCAAGGCACTATAGATACCCCCACTCTATCCCCTCCATGATCCTACTTTTTCAAACATATGCACCTGTGATTTACATTATTTGGTATTATAAACTGGGTGGTTCGAGCCCTGAATGCTGATTGGCTGACAGCCGTGGTATACCACGGGTATGACAAAACATTTTTACTGCTCTAATTACATTGGTAACCAGTTTATAATAGCAATAAGGCACCTTGGGGGTTTGTGGTATATGGCCAATATACCACGGCTAAGGGCTGGATCCAGGCACTCCACGTTGCGTTGTGCTTAAGAACAGCCCTTAGCCGTGGTATATTGGCCATATACCACACCCCCCCCCCGTGCCTTATTGCTTAAATAAGGACTATAAAAGAGCAGTCGGCCAACCAGTGTCTCTATGCCTATGGTAAAGAAGCATAGAGAACTCAAGTGAGATCATTCTGATGAGATTGAACAGGATTCTGGTGCTTTACCATAAACTTCAGGTAGTGACAGAGGCTGCTGCAGTGTTGAGTCTTTGCTTCGTCCTCATCGAGATAGACGACTTTACACAGGTTGCAGAAGTAGCCAATGACAGGTTTAATGTATTCCCTTCCTGTAACAAACACCCATAGTACGTTAGAAAACATAGTACTGTACTGCATAAAGACAATGCTTCTTACTGCGGTTCATTGATGCACAACTTGGTAGTGTTTTCAAAGCAAACAAATTAAATAGTTGGTTTCAGTGATTAGTGTCCCAGACACAAGTCTAAAAAATAAAATGTAGTCATTTTTCTTGAAAGGAGCCAAGACAGTAGCCTGGGTGCCAGTCTGATTCTACTCTCTTGCCAACTCCTTATGGAATTGTCACGCAATGAAGTTGACAAGGGCACAAACAGATCCGGGACCAGGCTACCATGAGTGTGCAGTGAGGCTATAAAATCACATCAAAACACTTACCCACTGGGTTGTTGGGCTGGAACGATGACTCCATGCCAGTCTTCATGGAATCTGGTCCTGTTTCCACATTATCCTCCATCTTGGTTTCTCCGTTATCCTCGGTGCTACAGGCCCGCTTCTCTTCCTCAGCAGCAGGGACAGGGGCATCCTTTTGGACTTCACTGTTGGAGGATCTGTCAGTATTCACTGGAGACGCTCCTCTGTCCTCCTTGTCACAGTGTTTGGCTGGCTCAGACGAACGTTTACTACGCTGTTCAGAGTCTACTTGTCGTGCCGTCTTCTCTTCAGTCTTCTCGTCCTTCTCTTCAGTCTTCTCGTCCTTCTCTTCAGTCTTCTCGTCCTTCTCTTCAGTCTTCTCGTCCTTCTCTTCAGTCTTCTCGTCCTTCTCTTCAGTCTTCTCGTCCTTCTCTTCAGTCTTCTCGTCCTTCTCTTCAGTCTTCTCGTCCTTCTCTTTAGTCTTCTCGTCCTTCTCTTTAGTCTTCTCGTCCTTCTCTTTAGTCTTCTCGTCCTTCTCTTTAGTCTTCTCGTCCTTAGCGTCTGACTTTGAGTGACTGCTGGTCCGTCCACTCCTTATCCTGCTACTGCTGCTTCTCGTACTCCCGTGATATTTCTTCCGATCAGAGTCCGATTCAGGTTCCCACCTGACAAAATAAGATAAATCCTTTTTTTAGTCCAGAATTATATACACGTTTAGAAACGTTTACCTTTAAGACAGATACGCAGAAAATCACTGCACATAAAATATGATCAGACAGGGATATTTTCTAATCAGAAGAGACAGAGAAGCATCAATTATCAGTGGCTCCCACGCGGGACGGGAGTGTGTGTGTGTGCTCCATGTCTGTTTAGCAGAGCAGACACCACCTGGGCTATAGCACCCTACCCTGTTGTTAGTCTTTTATATTTCTGAGACCGCAGGATGACCAACTTCCGGCCGTATAATTTACAGCCACCATAACGCATCGCCGTTAAAGCCTTTGTTGCATCAGAAGAACTCTCCATCTCAATGAAGCCCTGAGAGATAGATGACAAATAGAGGAGGAGAGGAGAGAGAGAGAGAGACCATGGTTATTGCAACAACAAATATGATCAGACTTGTAGTACATCATTAGGATCAATTCCATTTTAGATTCCCTTCTGTTAGGAGAATACCTCTTCACCATTACGCAGAAGGAAATAGCGGTGCACTCTCCCAAAGCCTTTAAAAATCTTCAGGAACTCGTAATCTGTATAGTAGCCACTAGGAAGGTTTTTGATGTAGATCACTCTTCCAGATGGCTGATCACGTCCTGAGGGCTGAAATAAAAACATTTTGTGGTTGTAACAACCTTATTGACAATAGTTAACTAAAGCCGCATAGAACCCACTCAACCCAGACTTATCTCAGAAGGTTGAATTAACAATTGTAAACGGCTGACCAGTACTGACTCACAGAACACATCAATAACAATAATAAAAAGAACATTGGCTCACCTTGCTCCTGGACCTGCTCTTGGTCTCATCTGTTGACTGGTTATCTGCAATGTTAAGATAAACATCCAATCAATGACCTTCATAACAATGTTACTCTTTCTTTTCAAAGTGCTCCAGTTTGAATTGAATCTGTGGTCCAGTAGATAGGTGTTGAGTATTAAGTCACCTCGGTCGTCAGCTGATGAATCCTCCGCCAGCTCATCCAAAGTAATAAGGTTCTCAAGGTCCTCTGGGAAATCAGGCTCCTCCTGTGTAACAATGGAGGGGAACAAACATCAAAACAATAACATTTTAGGATTTACTGAAACACACAACATGTATTAAACATGACACCTTGTATTTTACATATTGGAATTATGTTCCTTGTCTTTTTTCCAATTTGACTTATCAAAATAGATGAACTAATTGTTAAAGACCTGACAGAGCATGTACTTTACCTCATCAACATATGAAGCATCTGCATTCTGATCTTCACCATCTCTCTCTTTCTCCTCTTCTGACCCGGTAGCTGAGAGCTCTTTCCCCTGTTCTGTCCCGGTAGCTGAGAGCTCTTTCCCCTGTTCTGACCCGGTAGCTGAGAGCTCTTTCCCCTGTTCTGTCCCGGTAGCTGAGAGCTCTTTCCCCTGCTCTGACCCGGTAGCTGAGAGCTCTTCTGTAGGAGTATCATCTACAGTCCCAGATGTAGCGGTTGCTTTTTGCTTGGGCTCACATAGGGCTATAAACAAGTCCTCAGCACTCTTCTGCTGTTTCTCTTCCTCTTGTTCCTCTTCCTCCTCTTCCTCCTTCTCCTCCTTTCCCTCCTTCTCCCACTCTTCCATGTCAGAGTTCTCCTCCCCATCCTCCCCATACACTGCCATCCCCTCGATGTCGCCGTCCTCTCCGATCTCCCCCTCCATGTCACAGGCCTCCATGGCTCCATCCTCCTGCCTGTAATGTGTCTCAGTATCTTGCTTGCTCTGGTCAGTCTTATCGACAACCTCGTCGGACTTCTCCATCACAGTGGAGGACTGGGATGAGGTCTTATCCTTGGTGGGAGGTTGTGAGCGAGTGGATGTGGAAGTGAGAGATACCTTGTCCTTCTTGGGGTCTGTTTTACCAGAACCTGGGGTCTTCTCACTGGAGACCCTCTCTTTAGTATGGGAGCGAGGGCTTCTGGAGGACCGGCTGGAGCTCTTTTTTCTGGGGGACCTTGGCCTGCTTTTACCCCCGTCGTTTGATTTCACTCGTTCTTTGTGACGGTCGCTGTCCCCCTCTCCACTCCTCCTCCTCCTCCTCTTTGAAGAGGTTGGGGAATCTCTCCTGGGGCTGATGGATCGCCTTCTGGGACTTGGGGTTCTCCTCCTCTTAGATCTGTCTTCAGACTTCCTGCTCCTGTCTGAAGACTTCCTGTCTGAAGACTTCCTATCAGACATGGTCCTGCATGATGTGACGGAAAGAAAGTTTACAGACAACACTTTTATTCCCATGGTTTCTGGCTTTTACAGAGCATAAATTCAACATTTCCCCTTTAATACAGTAGTTATAACAGTGTCTGACAGTCTGATCTCAAAAGCCATAATCAATGTATGTTTGCATGCAAAACAAAAGGTAATAGCACAACAGGGGGACGCATCAACTTACCGAAGTGTATTGTACTCTGATGAGAAGGCCACTTTAATATGTACCCCATCTATTTTCAGGTATTTGGACGTATGGTGTTCAACCAGCTTCTGTGCATCCAGTGCATTTGTCATTTCCACAAATGCCTACGAGGACAGAATACACTGTAAGCTAATTATAGTATAACGCTGGCCAAAACAGTTGAAAGCAAAAATGCTGTTTAATACCTGCGTAGGTAAGAACAGAGAGCGCGCCACAGGTCCAAATCCTTTAGCTACGGCCAGCAACTCTCTCTTCCATGCGGCAGACTCTTTACCAGGAGGCACAGGGGAAAAGCTCAACACCCGGGAACTCTGTATGGATGTAAATGTATTTATTTAGCTCATTTAATAATCCTCTGTGTTTGTGTGTGGTTGTTTTAGGGAATACTGTATCCTCAATTACCCCTTCAACCAAATGTAACTAACATCGTGTCAATTAATTCATCTTGTAAAATGTACCTGCAGGAAATTAAATGTTGAAGAGACAGAGAAGGTGACTTGTCCTCCTTTCACCATCACTGGGTTACTGAGGTAGTACTTCACAACATCCTCGGCCTGGTCAGTTGAGCCCATCTCCACAAACGCCTGAAAATGCAGCGATACAAGAACCATAAAAAAAGTATTACTAGGATGGAAATCCCTACTCCAAGTCAATGAGTCCATGATGGGCGGGGACTTTACTTTAAAATGAGTATAAGATTTTCTCAATTATTTATTCAGTCAACGAAATACTTACCAATTTCATATGAGTTGAAAACACATACAGTACCAGTCAAAAGTTTGGACACACCTACTCATTCCAGGGTGTTTCTTTATTTTAAATATTTTCTACATTGTAGAATAATAGTGAAGGCATCAAAACTATATATGAAATAACAAGTATGGAATCAAAAAGTGTTAAAACAAATCAAAATATTTTATATTTGAGATTATTCAAATAGCCACCCTTTGCCTTGACAGCTTAGCAACCTCTAGGCATTCTCTCAACCAGCTTCATGGAGGTAGTCACCTGGAATGCATTTCAATTAACAGGTGTGCCTTGTTAAAAGTTAATTTGTGGAATTTCTTTCATTCTTAATGCGTTTGAGCCAATCAGTTGTGTTGTGACAAAGTAGGGGTGGTATACAGAAGATAGCCCTTTTTGGTAAAAGACCAAGCCAATATTATGGCAAGAACAGCTCAAATAAGTAAAGAGAAACGACAGTCCATTACTTTAAGACATGAAGGTCAGTCTATACGGAAAATTTCAATAACTTTGAAAGTTTATTCAAGTGCAGTTGCAAAAACCATCAAGCGCTATGATGAAACTGGCTCTCATGAGGACCGCCACAGGAATGGAAGACCCAGAGTTACCTCTGCTGCAGAGGATAAGTTCATTAGAGTTTACCAGCCTCAGATTGTTCAAGTAACAGTTCAGTTCAAGTAACAGACACATCTCAACATCAACTCTTCAGAGGAGACTGCGTGAATCAGGCCTTCATGGTCGAATTGCTGCAAAGAAACCACTACTAAAAGGACACCAATAAGTAGAAGACTTGCTTGGACCAAGAAACACGCGCAATGGACATTACACCGGTGGAAATCTGTCCTTTGGTCTGATGCAGAGTAGGTGAATGGATGATCTCTGCATGTGTGGTTCCCACCGTGAAGCATGGAGGAGGTGGTGTGATGGTGCTATGCTGGTGACACTGTCTGTGATTTATTTCGAATTCCAAGGCACACTTAACCAGCATGGCTACCACAGCATTCTGCAGCGATACGCCATCCCATCTGGTTTGTGCTTAGTGGGACTATCATTTGTTTTTCAACAGGACAACGACCCAACACACCTCCAGGCTGTGTAAGGGCTATTTGACCAAGAAGGAGAGTGATGGAGTGCTGCATCAGATGACCTGGCCCCCACAATCACCCAACCTCAACCAAATTGAGATGGTTTGGGATGAGTTGGACCCCCAGAGCGAAGGAAAAGCAGCCAACAAGTGCTCAGCATATGTGGGAACTCCTTCAAGACTGTTGGAAAAGCATTCCTCATGAAGCTAGTTGAGAGAATGCCAAGAGTGTGCAAAGCTGTCATCAAGACAAAGGGTGGCTACTTTGAAGAATCTCAAATATAAAATATATTTTGATTTGTTTAACACTTTTTTGGTTACTACATGATTCCATGTGTGTTATTTCATAGTTTTGATGTCTTCACTATTATTCTACAATGTAGAAAATAGTAAAAATAAAGAAAAACCCTTGAATGAGTAGGTGTATCCAAACTTTTGACTGGTACTGTATATTAGGTATTTGAATACATGGCAGGATAACTAGGTAACTAGTTATCTTACCAAAGCAGGGAACATGATGATTTTCACAACTTCCCCAAACGGTTTAATCAGGTCCTTCAAACCATCTTCGTTGAGACACCAGGCGTTAAATTTGGCACAAACCACTTTGCCACTCCCCTGGAAAATAAAAGGTAAGTAAACGGACAATGTGAAACTAAAAAAAAAGGTGAAAACTAGACAGTAATTCAACAGAAGAGCAAGAAGAAAGAAAAACAATACCTTTGTAACCTTTGTAGCATTTGTCTTAGTGTCGATGCTTTTTCTAGAGCTGCTACTTGTCGGTTTACCTACAGGACAATATAAAAAGGTAAGTAACTGGCACGTTAATATGTTATATGTTATGGACACATGTTATAATATTAAAATCAGACATATACTGTCAAAGCAAATGGTCCTGATGTGGCTCAGTTAGTAGAGCATGGCGATAACAACATTTCAATTTGAAATACGAAAATGTATGCTTGATAAAAGCGTCTGCTAAATGGCATATACAGTGCCTTCAGAAAGTATTAATAATATAATAATATGCCATTTAGCAACCGCTTTTATCCAAAGCCACTTACAGTCATGTGTGCATACATTTTTACGTATGGGTTGTCCCGGGGATCGAACCCACTACCCTGGCGTTACAAGCACCATGCTCTACCAATTGAGCTACAGAGGACCACACCCCTTGACCTTTCCCCCCATTTTGTTGTGTTTCAGCCTGAATATAAAATGGATCAAAATGACATTGTGTCACTGGCATACACACAATAACCCATAATTATGTTGAATTTTTTATTAATTTATTAAAAATGAAAAGCTGAAATGTCAATATGTATTCAACCCCTTTGTTATGGCAAGCCTAAATAAGTTCAGGAGTAAAAATGTGTTTAACAAGTCACATAATAAGTTGCATGGACTCATTCAATAGTAGTGTTTACCATGATGACCACCTCATCTCTGTACTCCATACATACAATTATCTATAAGGTCCCTCAGTCGAGCAGTGAATTTCAAACACAGACTCAACCACAAAGACCAGGGAGGTTTTACAATGCCTCGCAAAGGGCACCTATTGGTCGATTGGTCAAAAAAAGAAAAAAGCAGACATTGAATATGCCTTTGAGGTCCTCTGTAGCTCAGCTGGTAGAGCACGGCGCTTGTAACGCCAAGGTAGTGGGTTCGATCCCCGGGACCACCCATACACAAAAAAAATGTATGCACGCATGACTGTAAGTCGCTTTGGATAAAAGTGTCTGCTAAATGGCATATTATTATTATTATTAAAAAGCATGGTGAATTAATTACACTTTGGATGGTGTATCAATACACCCAGTCACTACAAAGATATAGGCGACCTTCCTAACTCAGTTGCCGGAGAGGAAAGAAACCGCTCAGGGATTTTATCATGAGGCCAATGGTATCTTTAAAACAGTTAGAGTTGAATGGCTGTGATAGGAGAAAACTGAGGATGGATCAACAACTTTGTAGTTAATTCACAATACTAACCTAAATGACAGAGTGAAAAGGAGGAAGCCTGTACAGAATAAAAATATTACAGAAACATGCATCCTGTTTGCAATAAGGCACTAAAGTAAAACTGCAAAGAATGTGGCAAAGAAATTAACGTTATGTCCTGAATACGAAGCATTATGTTTGGGGCAAATCCAACACATCACTGAGTACCACTCTTAATATTTTCAAGCATGGTGGTGGCTGCATCAGGTTATGGGTATGCTTGACATCGACAAGGACTAGGGAGTTTTTTTTTATAAAAAGAAACGAAATAGAGCTAAGCACAAGCAAAATCCTAGAGGAAAACCTGCTTCAGTCTGCTTTCCAACAGACACTAGGAAACAAATTCACCTTTCAGCAAGACAATAACCTAAAACACAAGGCCAAATATACATGAGTTGCTTACCAAGATGACGTTATAATAATAATAATAATAATAATAATAATAATAATAATAATAATGCCATTTAGCAGACGCTTTTATCCAAAGCGACTTACAGTCATGTGTGCATACATTTTTACGTATGGGTGGTCCTGGGGATTGAACCCACTACCCTGGCGTTACAAGCGCCATGCTCTACCAATTGAGCTACATCGAACGTTCCTGAGTGGCTTAGTTACCGTTTTGACTTAAATCATCTTGAAAATCTATGGCAAGACTTGAAAATGGCTGTTCTGCAATGATCAACAACCAACTTGACAGAGAATGAAGCCTTTTTTAAAGAATAATGTGCAAATATTGTACAATTCAGGTGTGCAAAGCTCCTCAAGACATACCCAGAAATACTCACAGCTGTAATCGCTACCAAAGTTGATTCTAATGTGTGAATACTTATGTAAAGGAGATTTCTGTATTTCATTTTCAATAATTTTGCAACAATAAAAAAAAAAACATGTTTTCACTTTGTCATTATGGGGTATTGTATGTAGATGGGTGCGAATTTTTTTTTTAATCAATTTTGAATTCAGGCTGTAAGAACAAAACGTAGAATAAGTCAAGGGGTATGAATACTTTCTGAAAGCACTATATTATGTATAGGCAAGCTAATGCAGTTAGTTTACCTAAGTAGTTAATCGACCTATGGGAAGGTCCACCAGTCTTCTCTTCAACCCTTGGTCTCTCTGTGTGGTCATCACCACTAAAGGGAATAAAAGGCCTGTAGTTAGGATCTATTCTACATTAATACCAAGCACGCACACACACACGGACAGAGAGATATGCACTCACTTTCTGGCGGTCTGCATCCGGCAATCCCACTCAGGATACCTAAAGGTAGGCACAGGGAGAAGAGATGGAATGATAAAAAGCTGGACAATTTAGGAACTTAATGCATTGAAACTAGGCATATTCCCATATCAATACTGACAGTAGGAGTTTGAAATGTCATGCTGGTGAGTGGAGAACTGGAAAAACAACTTGAGCATGTGATCACTCACATCTGAAGAAGTGTGAGTTGTCCGTCTGCATGTTGAGTTCCATTGGCGTGTGCGAACCAGTACTGCAAAAAAAAAAAATGTTTTCACTGGTTGTTCATATTTAAGAGAATGCATAGGCTATATGTTCTAACATACGTAGCAGTAACTGTATATTTTTAGTGCCACAAATAGGCTTAAGATTCATTCACTTTGGACCCTTTCACACACACATGAACCTACCGGAGACCCAGATAATGCAGATTCAACAGAAATAAGAGGAAGTAAGCTACTTACCTTTTCAGAGAGCACGGTAATATCGCAGAGAGAGCACGAATAAGGAAACGTTTGGGGGATTTCTCCGTGGAAGTCAAGAGCAGCCTTCTTGGTGGGAGTTTTGCCAGAGGTGGCCATCTTGATTGTGACAACTGGGACATCTTGGTCTAGGCGTGGTCTGTAGTCTGTAGCTGGTGTCGGTGTCGGTGGGTACCTGTAATCTACTGCTGGTTGGGATAAGATGGGTGGTTTCCGGCTGCTGCTGGTTCCTCTTTGGTCCGAGCTGTAAGTGGACCTGGGAGTTTCGTAGCTTCTGGGAGTTTCTTTACCATAGTGGTAGTCCACAACTCGGACAGGGACAGGTACAGGTACAGGTTCCACGCGAGAGCATGTGTACTGCATCGGGTTGCCATGCCGATCTAGTTGCCAGGGCTCAGCCTGTTCTGTGGGAGGGAGTTGGGACAGGGGAAGAGCGGAGTGGGGGTCCAACGGGTAGTCTAATGGCTGAGAACGACTCCGGTCACCCTGCTCCCACGCATGGCCTGGAGGAGGGGTAGCAGGGGGGGGGCAAGATGTGGCAGCAGGGGGGTAAGAGGTCATAGCTGGATATGACGGCTGCTGTGTCGCCCTCTTCTTTCTGATCTCCAGGAGCATACGTGGTAGGTTCTCCACAGTGATGAGATGCTCAGGCATCTCGGCTAGTAGAGACAAGTCTTTGGGCTCGAGCCCACAGCTGCTCAGGAGGGTCAGAGTTTGGTCTGACCGGCTTAGTGAGGACGAGTAAGGGTCTGACTGGCTTAGTGAGGACGAGTAAGGGTCTGACTGGCTTAGTGAGAAGGAGTAAGGGGACTCAGTGGCAGCGGAGGCTCTGGATGAGGAGGATGGTATTGTGGAATGAGACGGTGGCTCCTGGGACGATCTGTAAACATTGTGACCATGGTCTCCAGGGTGCAGGTGATCTGGAGAGTCGTAAGAGCTGGCTCTTAGATCTTTAGCTGGTGATGGTCGTCTGTAGGAGTAGTTGTGAGACATGCTGGAACTGGAAGGTAAACGTATCAAATCTCTGTAGAGAAATTTGCCAGTGAAGAGATGAGGGGTCAAAGAAGCAATCTAGGGGAATATGGATTCAATATTAGGACACTTGGGGGCGGGGCCTATCTTGACTGTTGCTGATTCCTTGTAGGTGTGACATGCTGGCGATAACCGGCAGGTCTAGCCCGAACCGTCATGTAGATGACGCGTTAGCCAGATAGCTAACGTTAACTGGCTGAACGTTAGTTAGTTAGCCCTGACATGGAGCCAAACCATGGGCCTGAAAATGGTTGCTCATGCAAGTGATACCAATTACATAGATAGCTAGATAGATATTGGAAGGACCATCTAAATACCAAAAAGTTCTAAAAAGCATAAATTTTCTAAAACGAAATTGACACTGGCTGAGCTAGCAAAGCTAACGTTAATGTAAGCAAGCTAACTTCCTCTCACGTTAGCTCGACAACTAGCTATCATACTAACCAGCCATTTTTGAAAGATGAATATAATTAGTGAATACATTTACAAACCTTGACATAAATATCGGTATATAACTTTATTTGTTAAGTATCTTACCGTAACCAGTAGCGAAGTAGCTAGCGCGCTTCCAAGGCGTCTAAACCGGAACCGGAAGTGAAAGGTAAACTACAATATATTTTTATTTACATTTACATTTTAGTCATTTAGCAGACGCTCTTATCCAGAGCGACTTACATTATCTTTTATTTATTTTTATACTGGCCCCCCGTGGGAAATGAACCCACAACCCTGGCGTTGCAAACGCCATGCTCTACATTTTTTTTTATTATTTTTTACGTCATTTAGCAGATGCTCTTATCCAGAGCGACTTACAAATAGGTGCATTCACCTTATAGCCAGTGGGATAACCACTTTACAATGTTTTTTTTTGTTTTGTTTTTTAATTATTTATTTTTTTGGGGGGGTAGAAGGATTACTTTATCCTATCCCAGGTATTCCTTAAAGAGGTGGGGTTTCAAATGTCTCCGGAAGGTGGTGAGTGACTCCGCTGTCCTGGCGTCGTGAGGGAGCTTGTTCCACCATTGGGGTGCCAGAGCAAGTAAAATTGATCAGGCAGCCAATAGTTTTTTTTTGTGAAATTACAAAATATATAGTCCATCCATCAATATTTATTTTCAAATACTTTAAGAAAGGAAACATATGTTTTTGTATTTTTGTACAATATTTTTGGTACGTTTTTATACAGTAGTTTTCCTTTTTATGTGCATAATTTTTTTTAATCTAAAGTCAACATCTACATGGCAGTAGGATATCAAGCACCAGGCTCTGAATGATAATGGCAGGAAAGCAGAGGAGCAATGAAAATAAAAGGCTCCTTAACAGCTTCTACCCCAAAGCCATGACTGCTGAACAATTAATAAAATGGCCACCCTAACTATTTACATTTTAGTCATTTAGCAGATGCTCTTATCCAGAGCGACTTACAGTTGAGTGCATACATTATTTTTTAAAATACATACATTGACCCCCCCCCCCCCCCCTCCCCCTTTGTTTTTACACTGCTGCTACTAGCTGTTTATTATCTATGCATAGTCACTTTACCCCTACCTACATGTACAAATGACCTGGACTAACCTGTAGCCCCCCCCCCCCCCCCCCCCCCCCCACATTGACTCGGTACCCCCTGTATGTAGCCTCATTATTGTTATTTTATTGTGTTATTTTTTTTTACTTTAGTTTATTTAGTAAATATTTTCTTAACTATTTCTTAAACTGCACTGTTGTATTCGGCGCATGTGACAAATAAAATGTGATTTGAAAATCTAAAATAAGGCTGGAATTTCAGGCTCTGAAAACCAATTAAAATGTAGAACAATCAAATAAGAGACATACACTACCGTTCAAAAGTTTGGGGTCACTTAGAAATGTCCTTGTTTTCGAAAGAAATGCAACTTTTTTGTCCATTAAAATAACATCAAATTGATCAGAAATACAGTGTAGACATTGTTAATGCTGTAAATGGCTATTGTAGCTGGAAACTGCTGATTTTTAATGGAATATCTACATAGGCGTACAGAGGCCCATTATCAGCAACCATCAGTCTTGTGTTCCAATGGCACGTTGTGTTTGCTAATCCAAGTTTATCATTTTAAAAGACTAATTGATCATTAGAAAACCCTTTTGCAATATGTTAGCACAGCTGAAAACTGTTGTGCTGATTTAAAGAAGCAATACAACTGGCCTTCTTGAGATCAGTTGAGTATCTGGAGCATCAGCAATTGTGGGTTCCATTACAGGCTCAAAATCAGAAACAAAGAAATATTCCATTAAAAATCAGCCGTTTCTAGCTACAATAGCCATTTATTACCTCCACAACTTACTACATTTGCACACACTGTATATAGATTTTATATTTTTCTATTGTGTTATACGATGTACGTTTTTGTTTATCCCATATGTAACTCTTTGTTGTTGTTTTTAATCGCACTGCTTTGCTTTATCTTGGCCAGGTCGCAGTTGTAAATGAGAACTTGTTCTCAACTGGCCTACCTGGTTAAATTTTACATTTACATTTTAGTCATTTAGCAGACGCTCTTATCCAGAGCGACTTACAGTTAGTGAGTGCATACATTATTATAATTTTTTATTTAAAAAAATTATACTGGCCCCCATGGGAATCTAACCCACAACCCTGGCATTGCAAACACCATGCTCTACCAACTGAGCTACATCCCTGCCGGCCATTCCTTCCCCTACCCTTGATGACGCTGGGCCAATTGTGCGCCGCCCCATGGGTCTCCCGGTCGCGGCCGGCTAAGTTAGAGCCTGGATTCAAACCAGGATCTCTAGTGGCACAGTTAGCACTGCGATGCAGTGCCTTAGACCACTGTGCCACTCGGGAGGTTGTGGCTAAATAAAGGTTAAATAAATTAAATAACATTATAACATTAACAATGTCTACACTGTATTTCTGATCAATTTGATGTTATTTTAATGGACAGGAAAATTGCCTTTCTTTCGAAAACAATAACATTTCTAAGCTATCCCAAACTTTTGAACAGTAGTGTACATTATAAAGTAGGTCATCTATCTCTTATAACATCCAGTTATAAAACCAGGCTAAGATATTTAATATTAATCTCATAGCAATCTGCATTTCAATAAAAGGAATTCATAATGCAAACCAAGATCTAATGAAAAACACATATTTTGATTTTTAGATGAACCACTAATTTTGATTGAACAGAAAAGTATTATTTGATGGGGCAGGTATGTTAGAACTACTTACATAACATAGGCCTATAATATTCAAATAGGAAATAAGAGTAAAAAGTATTCCAGCTCCTACCCTGTTTTTACATTCAGAAGAGTTACAACAAACATATGATTTATATACACAACATTATTCAAAACTTTAAACATGCAGGGCTAGCTGGAAAACTTTGGCAACACATTAAGTGCAACAGAGTAACAGAACTCAAACAGATCTTCCTACACTGGCTTCAGTGTGGACAAATGACTTATTCATCAGAGGACTAGTCTCAGTGCTTCAACCCTGGTACGAATTCTTGTGCTTCAGGGTTCAAGTTGCTGTTGACCTAAAGAGAAAAAAACATGTGGGAAAATGTAATCAAAGCTTACAGAGATGATTCAATCCAAACAAATTTAGATATCATAGGCCTACTCTTAGCCCAGTATGTTCCAGCCTGTACTATCTTGCCAACTCCTCATGCCAAACATGACAAAAAAACATACTTTATACTTATGCTAAAATGTTTATTCTATTCTACATTTACATTTGAGTCATTTAGCAGACGCTCTTATCCAGAGCGACTTACAGTTAGTGAGTGCATACATCTATTTTTATTTATTTATATACTACTGAGCCATTTACTTTAGTTCGCATTCTTATCTTTTCTTATTTCTTATTGTTGTTGCATTGTCGAGAAGGAACCTGCAAGTAAGCGTTTCGTTGGGCAGTGTATCCCTTGTGTATCCCGTACATAAACTAATAAAACTTGAAATGTGGTGGCAAGATAGCACAAATATATCTGGGACAAGGCTAGCCTCAGAAACACAGGCACGAGTCGATGAGACAAGATTTGGAAGGATGGCCACACAAGACTAGCCTGGCGAGCCGCATGATCCTGCGAGTTAACATGAATGGTTCCCTACACGCAGTGGTAATCAGTCTGGCATGTACAAGACTAACGCGAGTCTAGGACAACTAAAATGTCTACTTTCCACAGACTTTACTTTATTTTTATTTTTATGAGACCTGGACAAACAAAACCACTCTGAAACATTTACCGCCATGCCGTTGACGATGCCTGTGTCACTGAGGACCAGAAGGTTGAGTTGGTCCTGCAGCTGACCGTGGGTTGGAGGGAGATCTCTGGCTGGGATGAACCATTCGTTCTCCTCTTCCTCCAACATCTCCTGGAAACACTGCTCAATGAACTCCTCCTCCCACAGCTCCTCCTCAATCTGGGGGAAAAGCATTCAAAATAGTTTAGACACCCACCTCTTCGTAACACTGTAAATAAAATAAATAATGATACATTACTATTACAAAAATAGGTATTTCTTTGTGTGGTGTAGGCATGCAAAAATAACATGAACTAGCTACCTAATCTAGTACGTCATCAATTGACAGAATAAGTAGAGGACCTGTCTGTTGAATTCCTCCTCGTTCTCCATCCACATGTATTCAGCAAAGGGATTGTCATCATTGATGAACTGTCCATGTAGGATAAGTTCGATGTTGCTGAGGCTTGGGGTGTTGTTGATGCGACTTGGGTCTTTCATTTTGGTGTAACAAAGACGAGGTAAGTTAGCTATATCTGCAAAAACGGACCAACAGGAATAAGACAATATTTCAGAACACAGTAATAATAAGACAGAAATAAACAATCAACGACTCGTGGGAAAAACACAGTACAGTTCAAAATGATAACTACAGAAACGTGTTGTCTGCCTTTTTGTTAAGACGACTCGATATAAAGGCTAAAACCAGCAAGTAGGGACACTCATTTCTAATTTTATATGGACCACATCAATGTCATATAACGGTCAAATTACCAGGCGAAGGTTCAAATCTGGAAGTGTCAGTTGCTCTTCCTTCCAAGACAGTGGAAAGTAATGGCGGCTGAGTGTGTTTGTTTACGTCAGAGATGGAACGAATGGTTTGACCCTCCCACGTGACCACGGCGCATGCTCCTTGGCTCGCTACAGCGTTACCGCCGCTGCGCAGGTAAGGACAATAAACCTGAGCTCCCTAACCTCGGAAAACCTTCGTTTTGATTGTAAAAATATCTAACGTTACAAATGACAACTATATATTGTTTTCATAGAACTCCTATTTTTTTTTGTAGTATAATGTACATCTCGTCATGAAAACATGCAGCTAGATGCCATCAAATTAGCTTCGCAAGTTAGCTAGGCCAGAGGCCTTGCGCATATGTGATTCTGCTGTTGCATATTAACATTTAGTTAGCTACTATCATCTTCAAACAACGTTTTTATATATTTATATCTAATACGCACAGAGTTCAGCAAATATTCACACACTGAGTGCAAATGTTTTTGGCTGCAGCACAGACAAAAGCTCTTGCGGTTAGCTGCATCTCGTGTTAGCTAGCAACTTGCTTTGAAGATAAATAACTAATGTTGCGATACATTCGCTATACTCTTGTCTTTGCTATAGCTTGATGTAATAGTCTTCTGATCCAGAGACTGGATCCAAATTCCCTTTTTATCACAAACCCCACTGCTCATTGTAACCTAGTAGCTACACATTTTAGCTCTTTTCATTCATGTCAAGTTGTCCAAACTTCAGTTCGGCCTATTGTTGGTCATCTGATAAAGTGTGAGCATTGTCCTTGCTCTATGAAGATTAACCCATGTTTGATCTATCTTCTCTTCTGGCTATGACATACAGTATCTTCCTCTACTTTCGTATGAGGTCAATTCACGTCTGAATCTTTACTGTACATTTCCCTCCTTTTCTGTGAGTTGTCTCTCTTCAATGCTTTGAAAATGATTCTTCCTGTTTCTTTCATATAAACCTAACATTCTGATTCTGAACACAGTTCAATTGACTACTATTTGAATTGGGCCCTTCTCTCCACACTTGCTATCAGTACATTGTAGGCTAACTGACCCTGGCTGCAGACCGTGTTGTTTGCACCTCCATATCCCCATGCTAACTGTGGAGGAGGGTGGCAGACAAGAACTTACACCCTACACTTTCACCATTATGTTTCTGCAGAAATACATATTCCATCAGTTGAAGAGGAGAGCTTTCCTTTTCTTCATCCACGTTGACTTGTTGCCACAGCGTCGTCTCTTTTTGAATTGACTGAATCTTCCCTTCGATCAAAGACTTTAAAAAATTGGCCCTCCCTTAACTGCTTCCTTATTCTGTTCTTGTGCCGTGTAGTCTCACGTTGAGTTAGTTTAGAGCACGTCAGCCATTTTGAGGGTGGCCATGTCCCAGAAGATTCCATCTGATAGCTCGCAGAAAGGCTTTGCTGTGGGACGCGGGCTCCTGGCTGCTGCTGAGACCCTCAACTTCAGCATGAATGAACAGCGTTCAGACAGCCTCCATCATGGCTCAACCTCCAGACAGTTGCACAGCATGTCCTCAGGTATGGGTGGTGGGGAGGGCGACCATGACCCGCAGCTGTCCCGTCGTGGTGGCAGCCACATTGGCAACTCCATGAAGCTGTTTGCCAGCTTGGGCCTGTCGCCCGCTGACCTAGACGTGCTGGCACAGATCCCAGAAGACAACATTAGTGTGGAGACCTTGCCTCACCTTATAATGCAGCTTAAGAACCGGAAGGTGGATTCTGACAGACGCATGGCAGGCAACTCTAGAGGGGACCTGTCCGGGCTCTCCCCTGAGCCCTCATACAGAGCCAGCAGAGACAACTGGGATGACATGCGTGCTGGAAGACTGGGTGGTTCCATGGGGCAAGCTTCGGCCCGCGCTCAGCAAGGAGACTTGGGCTACGGTTCCATCCAAGACACTCCAGCTGGAAGGTATGAACTCGACTATGGCCACGGCAGTGGGGGAAGAGATCCAGGGTGGTATTCAGATCTTTCCCGTGATCGCTACAGCGGTATGGGCATGGGTCCCCCCTCAGCGGCAGACAGTGTCTTTATGACCAGGAGAATGGGATCCCCGTCCCAAGGCAAAGTGCAGGACTTCTTGGGAGTCATACCTCACATGTTTCCCCATGTGTGCTCTCTTTGTGATTTTGACGTGCATTCCACCATGGTGAGTACTAACTCCAATTCCTTTTCCACTTTACCTGTCTGTTTCATCCATCCACACACCGTCTACTCTGATCTCAGTTTGATTGCGGCTCTCATGCACGCACGGACACTTTTTCAATTCAAGACCAGAATTTATGATCAAATCTTTTTTATTATATTTTCATTATCAAGTGACGAAAGCCAATCTACAGTACACTAAGTAATGGTTCAACATAAGTCTGTTTATATATTAGCATCATATCCCCACTTATTCAGCTTCTTTCTCCTTTTGAAGAGCCATAGTTTAATCACCCTTTGCTTTCTAATTGGTGTGGGAGCCAATTAATGTATACAGTGTAATGTATGCAGTAAATCAGTCACTCATCCAGTGTTTGTCTTGGTCTTGCAGGAGTGGAACCAGCACACTGATGGATTACGTCATACAGAAAACCAGAGGCTCCTCCTGCAGATGTAAGTTCCTCTTCAAACGTTCTGTGTTATTTATGTAAAGGCCTTTTTTAGCAACGAGGTTGTTAGGGCTAATGTTCAGATTAACACTGAATAATGTGATACGCACTGAAACATCTGTGTAGAACTTTTAACACTGCCTGCTGGAAAAAGTATCTGGGGGGAGGGAAAGAAAGGAAAAAGTATCGGAGGTGGGAAGAAAGCAACTTTTTGGAGTTATGTCTTAAAATAAAATAGTGTGTGAACCACCAGTCATTTTTGACCAGTGTTCTCCCATGATCTTTAGGTACCCAGAATGGGATCCACACATGGCCACAGGCAGAAGGTATGTCTCTCTCCCGCGCACACACTCTCGCTCGCTCTCTCTTTCTCACACACACACGCCGGTTGTTTATAACATGTAGTCCCAAGAGTTGATAAAGAATATAGGAACACAGTAAACCAGAACCTTTCAGGTGTTTTGATTTTAAAGAGCAACTACCCCTTAAAAACTACTTCTCATTTAGAAACAGGCTATGTGGCATCGATATGAGTGTGAAACATTTATTCTGATGTCAAAATGTACTACAAAGTGTAAATAGGATAATTTTGGTCATAAAGTCAGTCTTGTACAAAACAGAGTTTTGTGAGACTTGTGGTCGTGACAGCATCACAAGTTAAATGAAGGTTGGGTTTGTTTTACGCGACCTGATCGTAATGCCTGTGGTAAATTTGGATCGACTTTGGATATCCTTATGGGGCTAGTTAGGGACCCTCGGTAAATTACACAATGTACATGGGACAATATGTTAAAATCCCAATAGCTCCAAATTTCAATGACTTCAAAACCTCAAACCAACTATAAATTGTAGAAATTAATGTACAAATATTGAAAGGATTTTATGAGAACTAAAAGGTATGCAACATGAAAATATTGTCTCATTTACATTTTGTAATTTGATAGTCCCTAACTAGCCCCTGAGATAGGCTACCAATCAATCAAATTGTATTTATAAAGCCCTTTTTACAACAGCAGTTGTCACAAAGTGCTTATACAGAAACCCAGCCTAAAACCCCAAACAGCAAGCAATGCAGATGTAGAAGCATGGTGGCAAGGGAAAACTCCCTAGAAAGGAAGGAACCTAGGAAGACACCTGGAGAGGAACCAGGATCTGAGGGGGGGCCAGTCTCCTTCTGGCTGTGCCGGGTGGAGAGGAACCAGGCTCTGAGGGGGGGCCAGTCTCCTTCTGACTGTGCCGGGTGGATATTATAACAGTACATGGCCATTAAGGCCAGATTTTTCTCCAAGATGTTCAAACGTTCATAGATGACCAGCAGGGTCAAATAATAATCACTGTGGTTGTAGAGGTTGCAACAGGTCAGTTTATCAGGAGTAAATGTCACTTGGCTTTTCATAGCCGGGCATTTAGAGGTTGAAAGAGCAGGTGCGGTAGAGAGAGAGAGTTGAAAACAGCAGGTCTGGGACGAGGTAGGACGTCCGGTGAACAGGTCAGGGTTCCATAGCCGCAGGCAGAAGAGTGGAATCTGGAGCAGCAGCACGACCAGGTGGACTGGGGACAGCAAGGAGTCATCAGGCCAGGTAGTCCTGAGGCATGGTCCTAGGGCTCAGGTCCTCCGGGAGGGAGAGAGAGAGAATTAGAGGGAGCGTACTTAAATTCCCACAGGACACCGGATAAGACAGGAGAATAACACCAGATATAACAGACTGACCTTAGCCCCCCGGCACATACACTATTGCAGCATATCCAAAGTGAAACCAAATTTACTAGGGTCGCACACCAGCCGGCTAAAGTTAATTGTCAAAATAATTTGTCTAACTCTTCCCACCTGCGAACAGACACACGAGAACCACACCCACATCAAACCACACCCTGAAACCAACTCGCGTTTGAATTCAGTCGTGGCCACTAGCATTTCTTAATGAACCAAACCTAAAACGAGGCCAAATCAGGAAGTGAAGTTGCACTTGAAATGTGTGGATTAATCAGCCTTGTGTAATAGTAGACTGAATCTCATGTCTGTCCCTTTCAGCGGTGGGTCTCATCTACTGGAGACGACCAACCAATCAGCCGGTCTCCTGGGACCAGTCCCAATGGCTATAGGAGGAGTACGCATGAGCTCCGGCTGGGGTAATGGTGTTTTTGTTTGAAAGATTAAGTCTGTGTCTGAAATGGCACCCTATTCCCTATATAGTGCACTACTTTTGATCAGGGTACCCATAGGGCTCTGGTCAAAAGTAGTGCACTATATAGGGAATAGGGTGCCTTTTCGGACATAGCCAATGTATGCTTATTGCTGTCACTTACTGGTGAATTTCAAATCAAATCAAATTGTATTGGTCACATGCGCCGAATACAACAGGTGCAGACACTGCAGTGAAATGCTTACTTACAGCCCTTAACCAACAGTGCATTTATTTTAAACAAAAAAAGTAAGAATAAAACAACAACAAAAAAAGTGTTGAGAAAAAAAGAGCAGAAGTAAAATAAAGTGACAGTAGGGAGGCTATATATACAGGGGGGTACCGTTGCAGAGTCAATGTGCGGGGGCACCGGCTAGTTGAGGTAGTTGAGGTAATATGTACATGTGGGTAGAGTTAAAGTGACTATGCATAAATACTTAACAGAGTAGCAGCAGCGTAAAAAGGATGGGGTGGGGGGGCAGTGCAAATAGTCCGGGTAGCCATGATTAGCTGTTCAGGATTCATTAGCTGTTCTGTATTCATTACCATGTAATCATTATCATTAAAGGGATAATCCTTGTTCACTAAAATGACATATTGGCTTCCTGACTCTGTGAACAGTCTATGGACCAGTAAGACAGCAATCCATGTTGGCTTTTGTTTGGCTGGCCACTGCCATGTTGTAGTTGAAGTGACTGTGGGTCCTTGAAAAGCCGTATATAAAACCACTGTGTTATTATCATGTATTTTAGGTGGTGGTGCTGGATCTAATGTTGGACCAGGCAAGGCACATCAACATTCTATGGTACCTAAGCAGGTAATTATATATTTTTTTGTCATGATATTATCTTGATAAAATACGATCTCTTTACTGTAATGCAGTGACCAAGTAACTCTTCTTCAAAACAAATGTATATTTACTGGTGTGCCTTTTGGTGTGAAAGTGATGGATTCAACCTGTTTTGTGACTGTCTGAACACTGTTCTCCTCAGATCAAATGTATTTTCTGGTATGCCTTTTGGTGTGAAAGTGATGGATTCAACCTGTTTATTTTGTAACTGTCTGAACTTGTTCTCCTCCTCAGATCAGAAGCAAAGTAGTGGTGGCCAAGTATGACAGGCCTCCTCCGTCCTAACAAAGCCCTGTTCGCCCTAGCGGAACCCTTTGGGACTCTGTGCGAACACCTGGTCCTCAAGAACAAGGTAGAGCACACCACTGTGCCGGCTCGCCAGAGGCCTGGGGCCTCATTCATCATTTATACATTTCTCACTCAATTCTGGCGTATGTTGGCGATTCTAGGATTTGCGTGTGCAACAGATTTATTGGGATTTATCAAAGTGTCGCACACAACACATACGCATGTTTTTCATTGATAAATCAGAGCCATAATATATTTCTGCGCTCGTGAGCAAGCGTTACAACCCTTCCTGGAAAACGCCCTCCGTTCACTTTTTATGGTAACAAAAACGGCCTCATTTGCAGTATGATTTGGAAATGTTGGGACTGGGCCACGACAGTTTCTAAAGTGCAATGGCAAATTTGATCACATTTCTGTAGAGGTGTAGACAGAATGTTTTTAATCTTTTGCAGTGGCTTTTAAACTAAAATGCATGCAGCCTATAGAGTGTGCCAAACACTGGCTGTGCATCCTGCAAGATTGGTTGCCCTATTGAACAATTTAAAAGGAAATGCTACAGCCAACACTTCTATGCAAAAGACGAATTGTTTATCAATACATTGTGTTTCTGTCTCCTGCCTTGATGATGTCACACTCCCATCGCACAGCAATACTGTAGTCTACCCATACTGTCAAAGGCTACCGGTCTATTTACTTTCGAACATGGTTGGCTATTGAATGAGCGATGGCTAAATGGTATCCTACTATTTTATGTAGCAGGAATAAACCAGTAACGTATTACAGTACAATGGAAAATAAACGTATCACAAATGCAAACTCTACTTTCAATAACAGAGTAACTGTCAGTGAAGACTTAGGTTTAAATGTTTTCTTATTACCCCCCCATTTTAACAGAAGAAAATGTTGTAGAAAAACAGTTGACATTGTTGTATAAGAGCACCTGCTGACTGGTCGTGTACCACGGGGCTCATGGTGCGTTGATCTACTCCACAGGTCTTTTTAGAAATGGAGACCCATAAGGAAGCTAGGGATGTGGTCAACCACTACCAGAAGAACCCAGCTGTGTTGAATGGGAAACAACTCACAATTTATCTGTCCAAACAACTCACGGTGATTCAGGTAATATTGGAATGTCCTTATTAATCTACTTTCATTAGTTTTACCTGTATCTTATCTGCTGTATGCGTTTCTAACTTTGCTGACCATTTTAACAAACCGATTTTCAATTCAAGCAGCGATCGTGCATGCAGATCATTACACGTCATATTTCCCTCTTTCTGAACACAGAAAGACGCCAGAACTGAGAGGGTGAACCGCGAGGCGAAACAAGGCAAAGAGCCGGAGGCACCGAACCAGTCACAGGTGGTCTTCTTCTCCAACTTGCCGCGTGAGAACGAGAAGAAGCTGGAACTGCTCACCATCGCGCTGCGCTTCGGCATCGTGGAGAAACACTTGTTTCTAACCAAGCAGGTAAAAGTATTTTTTATTATTCTGTGTTTGTATAAAAATCATATGAATGGATAAAAGCGTCTGCTAAATTGCACACATTATTTGTATTATATTATTCTCAGTATGTTTTATTTCTGGATGTGTCATGAATTCTTAAAATGTATCATTAACGTTCGTCTTCCAAGGCTTTTGTTCAGCTGGGGTCTGCAGAGGATGCCGAGATGTTGGTGAAGTACTACACTCTGAATCCACTGACCATCCATGGGATGAGTGTCCGCTTAAACATCTGTACCAACTACAAGACCTTAAAGTAAGAGTTCCCAGAGTGATTCAGTGCTTCATTATCATAGTAGAGGACTTAGTTGGCCTTTTTATCTCAGAGGTATCTGGACTGATTGTTGTCTGTCTGTAACAGTGTGAATAATCGCTCCAAAAATCTGATGGATGACAAGAGGAGGAGGAGGAGGAGCAGCAGTAGTACTGGGCCCAAAGACAAAGCTTCCTCCTCCAAGAGCACCAAATCTTCCTCTAGCAGCAAAGCCAAAGAGGACAAGAAGGAACCACCAAAAGGAGAGGACTGCGGTGCAGGGAGAGAGGGAGTGGGGTCAGGTGACGAGGTGGCTGGTGTGATAGAGGGGGATGAAGCTGAGGAGTACAAAGGAGAGGGAGACCAGGGTCCAAGTGATGATGGGCCGTCAGCGGACAAGACTGAAGCCGTGACGGAAGACCCAGAGACTGCTGCCAAAACCAGTCTGGAGTCCCAGGAGGAGAAGGAACCGGCTCCGGACTCAGACGACGTTCCGAGCACTGCCAAGGTTCTGAGCAGCAGTGACGTCGCAGAGACGGCTGAGGGGGCAGAGGTGGAGCAGGGGACTGTGCCTGGTCCAGAGGAGAAAGCGGAGGGAGAGCCTGAGAGTGAACAGATGGAAACTGAAGCCGCTACAGATGAGACCGAGGACAAGGATGACATGCCGTCGGCAGAGCCAGCAGAGAGCTCGGAGATGCATGAGGAACAGCTACCTGCAGATCAGGTAGGTCAACAACAGAAAACATTTATAGTTCAAGAAAATATTATATTTGTCTTTGCTTACAAGTTGGCGCTACTCTTGTGTTTTTGTTCAGTTTGAGACAAAGTTCTGTTGAGCACAATGACTTATCTGCCTTTTCTGATTTGTTGTTCATATTGTAAACATATATTTAGAATATGTAACCATGTTGACATACATGTTGTTGTGTCTTTCCTTCAGGAGGAGGGCAGTATGGAGCAGGATTTCCCAGAGAACATGGATGACTTTGTGACTCTGGATGAGTTGGCAGAGGACGAGGACTTGGAGAGACAGGACTCCTCTTCCAAAGAAAGATACTCATCTTCAGGTTAACAACATTAACTTCAACCTCTAGCATGATATATATGGTCATTTAATTTAGGATGATTGATGACAGTGTCTGTGGAATTGAAAACCATTGGTACAGTGTCGCCCACATGAAATAGGCTACAACAACTTTTGTTGGAAAAGTGAACAGTTGTGTAATTTTCCCTCTCTCTCTCTCGCTCTGCAGGAAGCTCTAAGAAAATTGGGGGGTTGAGAGTGGTCAATGTTGTGGGATTTAAACGAGCCTATGGTTTTCTGAATGAGATCTTGGCCCTGGCCAAACCCTTCGGGACAGTAGTTCGACACCTGGTGCTTGACGTGAGACCTGAGGTAAAGTTGGTTGATTGATTGATTTGACAGTGAAGCAAAAACCGTAGGATGGACGTCAACGTCTAACCATTGTGTATCTTTTTTTTGTTGGTGAATCTAGGCCTTTCTGCAACTCACTTCGGAAGAAGAGGCGAAAGCAATGGTCAATTTCTACAGTGGGAATGTAACTCCAACTGTGTGTGGGAGATCTGTGAAAATCTACCATTCACAGACATACGCAACCATTCAGGTGAGCTCCATACCTGAAGATTCAGTTTGCCAGCCTTCTACAGTAGAAGTTGTTTGTAATGTTTCCTGTTCTTGCAGAGTGGGAGAGTGGTATACGTGGGACAGATTCCTCACTTCAAATCCTCTGATGCCTCCCTCCTGAAAATCGTTGAACCGTTCGGCAAAGTGAGACGCTATTTCCTGAACAGATCTCGCAATGAGGTAATGAAATATTTGTTTTTCTCTCTTCTGCTACAGAGCTTCTTAAAATGCCTCATGGGTGAATGAGTGGGATACGGTAGAAATCATTATTTTATTTCTAGTGTTTCATTGAGATGGAACGTGGAGAGGACGCCGAGAGAATGGCTGAGACCTACAAGGACACGCCCCCTAAATTCGAAGGCAAGCGACTAACGGTGTACGTGAGCAGGAAGTACAAACATCTCAAATACGGGTGAGTCAAAGTAAACAGTTGGTGTATTTCCTGTGAGCGTTGTACACTTCAGCCTGTTATTTTTCTCACTACTAAGATGCTGCTCTTCGTATGTAATGTGCTAAAACCAAATTGCCCTTCAGGGACAATAAAGTTGAATTGAAATGGAATGCTCTTTCCCCACACTAGACACCGACCACCAGCCCCTGACTCCGAGGAGAAGGAGAAGAGGACGTCGAAGAGGGAGCGATCGGGGAGCGAAACGAGCTCCCACAGGAGCTCGGCAGCCAAAAGCTCAGCCAAGCAGGATGAAGAACCTCCAGTCAAGAAGTCCAGAGAGGAGACGGCAGACGAGCCTGAGGAGGAAGACGAGGAGAAGATGGTGGAGACGCCCACTGAGCAGAGTGAGGTCAGGAAGGAGGAGGAGGTCCAGGGGGAACATGGTCAACCCTCTGAGAACTCGGCTGTACAGGAGATAGACACTGACATGGTAAGTTTATCTGGCTTAGGTTGTTCTGGAATGGCACCCTGTTCCCTATAGCACGCTACCTTTTGGTCACAGTCCTATGGGGGCTTTGGCCAAAAGTAGTGCGCTGTCACCCTCAGCAATCCCTCAATGTCCAGGATGATCTGATGGGGGATTATGACACCATTTTGTAGTAGCTTAAGGGACTGACTCTCTATTGCTCTACGCTGTAGAACATCAAAATGGAGGACAACGAGACGCCCATTTCCATAGTGAGTGTGAGGAGCGTTGAGGAGAACGGAGAGCCTGCTGGCACACCATCCCAGGCTGAGGGGAAGCTTTCATCAACCAGCCCTGTTCCTCTGGGGCCTTATGAGCCTAACAACCCAGTGGGTAAGGACATGCTCAGATGTAATGGGCTTTAGAGGGAAAAGGGTTTCTATGTGTTTCAGTAAGAGCTTTTTTAATAACATATTCAGTGCCTTCGGAAAGTATTCAGACCCCTTGACTTTCTCCACATTTTGTTAGGTAAACAGCCTTATTCTAAAATGGATATTTTTTTTTTTATCCTCAGCAATCTACACACAATACCAAATATTGACAAAGCGAAAACCAGGTTTTTAGAAATAAAAAAACATACCTCATTTACATAAGTAGTCAGACTCTTTGCTAAATTCATTTGATTGGACATGATTTAGAAAGGCACACACCTGTCTATATAAGGTCCCACAGTTGACAGTGCATGTCAGAGCAAAAACCAAGCCATGAGATCGAAGGAATTGTCCGTAGAGCTCAGAGAGAGGATTGTGTCGAGGCACAGATCTTGGGAAGAGTACCAAAAAATGTCTGCAGCATTGAAGGTCACTTTCAGACCATGAGAAACAAGATTATCTGGTCTGATGAAACCAAGATTGAACTATTTGGCCTGAATGCCAAGTGTCACGTCTGGAGGAAACCTGGCACCATCCCTACGGTGAAGCATGGTGGTGGCAGCATCATGCTGTGGGGATGTTTTTCAGCGGCAGGGACTGGGAGACTATAGTCAGGATCGAGGCAAAGATGAACGGAGCAAAGTACAGAGAGAACCTGCTCAGGACCTCAGACAGAGCTTTTACTGAGTAAAGGCTCTGAATACTTACGTAAATGTGATATTTCAGTTTTGGGGTATTGTGTGTAGATTTGATGAGGGGGGAAAAAACTAAACAATTTAATCAATTTTAGAATAAGGCTGTAACGTAACAAAATGTGGAAAAAGTCAAGGGGGTCTGAATACTTTCCGAATGCACTGTAGAATAACTAGATTTTTTCCTTCCTTTTCTTGTCTTCTCTAAAACATGAACAACATTAGAACTATATATGTACTGTATATTTCATACATTATATCCAAACATCATAGTGACTCTCTCTGATTGCAGGTGTTGAATATGTGAAGATGGGCTACTACTGTAGGGTCTGTTTCCTGTTCTATTCCAACGAGGAGACAGCCAAGAAGGTCCACTGCAGCAGTCAATCTCACTACCAAAAACTCAAGGTAAACATATATTTATTATTGTCAATTAGCAGATATGCCAATATATCTAAGCAGTCATTTTAAGGAACTAACACAAAACACACCAATACGTCTCTCACTTGGTATCAAACAGTTTTCAGCATAAGAAAAAAAAAACGATATGCTCTGAAACTTAAAATGCTGTCCCCGTTTTTTATTTTCAGAAACGTCTGGAAAAAGAGAAGGCCAAAGCTCAAAGCACCACTGGGATGAAGACTGTGTAGGACATTTCAAGTGTTCATGCATGGATAGAGTTAGTTAGTTAACCCTAGAGGTGATGTTTCAGCAGTTTTTTTGAGGCTTTCATGTTTAGCTATACAGCTTTGTAACTTTTTTTAAATTTTAACCAGGAGGAACCAGCTAAGAATTAATCTGGAGAATGTATGGAGTTTTGTTTTAATGTTTTCTGACAACTCGTCTTGCTCAATGTAAGCGCAATATACATTTTTTGATTTGTATTTAGTCTCAGATGCTGGTCTTTTGAATGTTCAGCAACTGTTGTGATGTAGAGATAAGAAATAATGTAACCAGTTATATTAGGGCCAGAGTCTAAAGAAAGGAGCTTGGTTGATAATTTGAACTAATAGGTGCCTCCCATGCAGATGTTCAGATAATTGCATTGCTTGGTTGAGGAGGAAGTATACTGAACAAAAATGTAAACGCAACATGTAAAGTGTTGGTCCCATGTCCCATGAGCTGAAATAAAAGATCCCAGAAATGTTCCCTACCCACAAAAAGCTTATTTCTCTCATTTTGTGCGCACATTTGTTTACATCCCTGTTGGTGAGCATTTATCCTTTGCAAAGATAATCCATCCACCTCAGGTGTGGCATATCAAGAAGCTGATTAAACAGCATAATCATTACACCTTGTGCTGGGGACAATAAAAGGCTGCTCTAAAAAGTGCAGTTTTGTCACACAACACAATGCCACAGATGTCTCAAGTTGAGGGAGCGTGTAATTTGCAGGACTGTCCACCAGAGCTGTTGCCAGAGAATTGAATGTTAACTTCTCTACCATAAGCCACCTCCAACGTAGTTTTAGAGAATTTGTCAGTACGTCCAACCGGCCTCACAACCGCAGACCACGTGTAACCACGCCAGCCCAGGACCTCCACATCCGGCTTCTTCACCTGCGGGACGGTCTGAGACGAGCCACTCGGACAGGTGATGAAACTGTGGGTTTGCACAACTGAAGAATTTCTACACAAACTGTCAGAAACAGTCTCAGGGAAGCTCATCTGCGTGCTCGTCCTCCTCACCAGGGTCTTGACCTGACTGCAGTTCAGCGTCATAACCAACTTCAGTGAGCAAATGCTCACCTTTGATGGCCACTGGCACGCTGGAGAAGTGTCCTCACGCTAGTCCCCTGTAGCTCAGTTGGTAGAGCATGGCGCTTGCAACGCCAAGGTTGTGGGTTCGTTTCCCACGGGGAGCCAGTATGAAAATGTATGCACTCACTAACTGTAAGTCGCTCTGGATAAGAGCGTCTGCTAAATGACTAAAATGTAAATGTAGTGTGTTTTTCATAGATGAATCCTGGTTTCAACTGTACTGGGCAGATGGTGTATGTTGTGAACAGAGTGCACCCATGGTGACGGTGGGGTTATAGTACGGGCAGGCATAAGCTATGGACAATGAACACAATTGCATTTTATCGATGGCAATTTCAATGCATAGAGATACCGAGACGAGATCCTGAGGCCCATTGTTGTGCTATTCCTCTGCCGCCATCACGTCATGTTTCATCTTGATAATGCACGTCCCATGTCCCAAGGTTCTATATGCAATTCCTGGAAGCTGAAAATGTCCCAATTCGTCTATGGCCTGCATACTCACCAGACATGTCACCCATTGAGCATGTTTGGGATGCTCTGGATCGACGTGTACAACAGCGTGTTCCAGTTCCCGCCAATATCCAGCAACTTCGCATAACCATTGAAGAGGAGTGGGACAACATCCCACAAGCCACAATCAACAGCCTGATCAACCATCCCAGTCATGTGAAATGCATAGATTAGGGCCTAACGATTTCATTCGGGAAGTATTCAGACCCCTTGACTTCATCCACATTTCGTTACGTAACAGCCTTAATCTAAAATTGATTAAATTATTTTTTCCCTCATCACTCTACACACAATACCCCATAATGACAACGCGTAAACAGGTTTTTAGAAATGTTTGCACATTTATTAAAAATAAAAACATACCTTGTTTACATATGTATTCAGACCCTGTACTATGAGACTCGAAATTGAGCTCAGGTGCATCCTGTTTCCATTGACCATCCTTGAGATGTTTCTACAGCTTGATTGGAGTCCACCTGTGGTAAATTTAATTGATTGGACATGATTTGGAAAGTTACACACCTGTCTATATAAGGTCCCACAGTTGACAGTGCATGTCAGAGCAAAAACCAAGCCATGAGGTCGAAGGAATTGTCCGTAGAGCTCAGAGACAGGATTGTGTTGAGGCACAGATCTGGGGAAGGGTACCAAATATATTCTGCAGCATTGAAGGTCCCCAAGAACACAGTGGCCTCCATCATTCTTAAATGGAAGAAGTTTGGAACCACCAAGACTCTTCCTAGAGATGCCCGCCTGGCCAAACTGAGCAATCGGGGGAGAAGGGCCTTGGTCAGGGAGGTGACCAAGAACCCGATGCTCACTCTGACAGAGCTCCAGAGTTCCTCTGTGGAGATGGGAGAACCTTCCAGAAGGACAACCATCTCTGCAGTACTCCACCAGTCAGGCCTTTATGGTGGAGTGGCCAGACGGAAGCCACTCCTCAGTAAAAGGCACATGACAGCCGCTTGGAGTTTGCCAAAAGGCACCTAAAGACTCTTAGACCATGAGAAACAAGATGCTCTGGTCTGATGTAACCAAGATTGAACTGTTTGGCCTGAATGCCAAGCGTCACGTCTGGAGGAAACCTGGCACCATCTCTACGGTGAAGCATGGTGGTGGCAGCATCATGCTGTGAGGAGATTTTTCAGCGGCAGGGGGAAAGATGAACGGAGTAATGTACAGAGGGATCCTTGATGAAAACCTGCTCCAGAACGCTCAGGACCTCAGACTGGGGCGACGGTTCCAACAGGACAATGACCCTAAGCAAACAGCCAAGACAACGCAGGAGTGGCTTTGTGACAAGTCTCTGAATGTCCTTGAGGGCCCCAGCCAGAGCCCAGACTTGAACCCGATCGAACATCTCTGGAAAGACCTGAAAATAGCTGTGCAGCGATGCTCCCCATCCAACCTGACAGAGCTTGAGAAGATCTGCAGAGAAGAATGGGAGAAACTCCCCAAATACAGGTGTGCCAAGCTTGTAGCCTCATACCCAAGGAGACTCAAGGCTGTAATCGCTGCCAAAAGTGTTTTAGCAAAGTACTGTGTAAAGGGTCTGAATACTTATGTAAATGTGATATTTCATATTTGTTATACATTTGCAAAAATGTCTAAAAACCTGTTTTTGCTTTGTCATTATGGGGTATTGTGTGTAGATTGTTGAGGGGGAAAAAAACGATTTAATCAATTTCAGAATAAGGCTGTAAGGTAACAAAATGTGGAAAAAGTCAAGGGGCCTGAATACTTTCCGAATGCACTGTATATAAACTGTAACTCAGTCAAATCTTTGAAATTGTTTGAATGTTGTGTTTATTTATTCTTTATTGGCATCGTTACTGGAGGAGAATGGGTACAGAATGGGTACAGACGCTCTGGATAAGAGCGTCTGTACAGACGCTCTGGATAAGAGCGTCTGCTAAATGACAAAAAAAAAAAAAAAAAAAAAAAAAAAAAATGTCGAGAGCCCCCTCTATTGGTGAGCATGCGCTTTACACGTACAGTTCATGTTGTGACCAGTAGATGATGGTATTGTTCAACAGGACTGACTAAGGATGATAGTTTTTCTAAGGATGACTTACTTGTGATTATTACTTTTCCCAGTGACTTCACAAAGCAATGTTAATTGAAATGCTGCTTTTCACACAAACAAACCAATATTTCTATAAATCGATCAATATTTTTTATTTGACATTCATGTGAGAGGTATCTAAATTCAACATGCATAGCTGTTTGGAGGATAATTTAGGGACCACCAAAATCCACCTTTCTTCCGGATGGGATCCATCCAATTTTTTTAATCCAGTGCCCTTCACTACACCAATTTCCCCTGAATGGCAGCCTATGGACAAAGGTCTGGTCGCCTGCACAGTGAAAATGTATCATTCGTGGAAGGCTTGAAGGGAGGAGAAACCAGAGCGGTAGTTGTATCTATCCTCCCTGAAAAGATGTCCTGACATTCACTTACTCTTTTCTCTTTTTCCAGTTTTTAGAGTCTGTTCTTTGAGCTGGAATATAAAGGCAGTAGCAGTAGTGGCTATAGATCAGACTACAGCTCCATTGTCCCCTGGGCAGGTCACCAACCCCCAGACTGGGGCTATGCATGTAGATGAGCCCAGGGCAGATGTCCACAAATATTTTTGGGGTTTGTTGTGGGGATTTCCAGAACAAAAAGGGTTGTCCGTCCCTAACCGAGTAGGGCCCTCTCCTTGGGGACTTCCTATTCTGTCTGCGTGCCACATTCTTTCAGAGGAGAGGACCAAGCAAGGTTTTATACCATTAGGCTTGATATCAAGGAGAGTGCTTTAGTCGCAGTGGGAGAATGTGTACAGATGTCCCAGCAGTGTCACAAGTTCATGACCCTGGTGTGTTGCAGGCATACATCTCATCATCAGGCTTTGGCTACAAACCTGCATGATATTAGTATATAGGGCCTACATGTGCACTGTTGCCTAAATCTTATGCTTGCTTCTTGATTGACCTCTTGGGACAGCAGCATAATGGTACTGGCATTATTTTTATTTTATTTTACCTTTATTTAACTAGGCAAGTCAGTTAAGAACAAATTCTTATTTACAATGACGGCCTACACCGGCCAAACCCGGACGATTATGTAAATCCGGATTGTAATGCATGTTCAGTGGCTGGTAGTGATATTGGTAGTTCTGCAGGTTTACAGAATCTACAAAATATTGGTTGTAATTAAAAAGCCAGTAAAAGTCAAGGTGCACCCCCCCCCCCCCCCAAAAAAAAGGTTATTCATTCGTTAATGGACATGTTGTGTGACAGAGAGAGAAGTCACATTAGAATTAGACTCATGCTGGCCTTCCTGTGAACTATCATAATGTTCTTGGTAACAAAGAGGGTTGATTCCAAGCATTTGCCCCCAAAATCCTCCTGAAATCAGTCATTCCAAACCTTCCTGGCCACTAAATCACCTTTAAGTGATAATTGTATTATCTTAGCTTTTAGCAGGATACCTTTCAAGGTAAAGTGATCACCGTGAAGTGGTGTTGCCTCTATCCCTTAAGTGACACTTTACCCTCAGGTGTCACCAGCCGACATAAATCTGAATGTGTTCCTGTGGCTAATGAAGAGGTATCTTCCTTTATTTTCAAATTCTAATGCAAGGACTAACAAAAAATATTCTGAACATTAACGCTTCCAAATAATTATCTTGTTTATGATTACCATTTCAGATATTACTGTAGATACCCTCAAATACACTTTGAGGTAAAAAAAAAAAACAAACAAACAAAAAAAACTAGTGACTGAAGCAATGGTTTATACTCACAGTAAAAACCTGCATGTGCAAGTT